TTTCCCCTTTAAGCTAATGCAGGAAAAACATGGTGATTCTTGATTAAATTTAAATATTTTTTCCATTGTACATTATAGTAGGAACTATGAAAATCTACACACACACACACACACACACATGCACACATGCCTGTGAACTTGCCCAGTGTTAATTACACAATAGGAGTATTTGTGACAGTGAAAACATGAATCAAAGATTGATCATGAAAAGAAACAGAACCCAAATATGGTTGGTAGTTGCTTGCTTCAGATTTTCAGTTATTTGAGGTTTCAGTCCAGATGCCTTTGCTTTGGGGAATTCTTGCCTCAGATTCTTTATATTTCTCTTCTCTTTGCATATTCTCTCCTCCCCTTTCAATGCATATGTCACTATATCTTTCCTGACTATCTCCTGTAGCTTAAAATCAGCAAACTCTGATGCCTCTGTGATATACTTAGCTACTGCTCTGCCTGGACCTCCGGCCTGTTCATCTTTTAGTACTTAGCCAGGAGAGCACAGAAGCTTTCCATACCCATTGCTTCCACTGACACCGATCACTGGATCTGGATGTTAGTTCCTCCTGTGGGCTGGTATGGTTTGCTGCTAGCCTCTCAGTCAGTCATAGCAGGAATCTCAGAGCATTGTAATTATATTTAAACAATGTATACAACACATGTGTGTTATGACTACAATAACTTGCCTGCTTCCTTCACCAGATTTAAGAGAAACTTGACATTTTAGGCAACAGAATTTCTTCGATCGTTACACTCCTAACTCAAGAATGTGGTAACTGGCATAGGGATAGTACTTAAGAAACATGGGGCAAATAAGTGGACACATGGATTAAATCTCTTGCTGACAGTATTGTATGTTCTGTCCCATCTACCCCATGGCTTCTAAGTTGTGTTCACTCAAAACTGAATCATTAAGAAGCCTGTGGGATCCTCTGAGAAATCTCCCTGGAAAGATCAACAGGTACTTTGAGGACATTGAAAAACATGTTTGTTTAAAAGTGTTTGCTTCCTCCCTTCTTTTTGCTCCTTCCATAAGTATTTTTTTGGTTTTATCTCCATGCTTTTTCAGATCTTGACTTGCGTCTTTATATGTATTTTGTGTGTGTATTATGTAACGTATGTTTTATATATGCAATGCATGCAACACATATGCATATTATTCCTAGGCTCAGAAAGGATAATCTATGAAGACAAAATTGAGTAGGTTGATACAGTTAATGGATTAATCCATGTTCAGTCAAGACTAGTTCTAGCTCTCAAGCTGTGACCTGAAAATGGCTCGCATTTCATTGTTTCCTGAGGTAGAACTTCTATCCTAATACAAATAGAAGTATGTTTCTAGTGCCTACTACTAGAGTTGAGTACTTTAAGTCCTCTCTAAGGGAAAATGAAATCAAAATAGGTAGGCCCACTAAATAACCCAGATCTTATGGTTAAATATCTGCCAGTTTTAATCCTATGAGTCAATATATCCTTTTTCTATTATGATTAAGTGTGATGATTTTGTTGAAGAATCTTATGCTTTTTAATTTCTCTTGCATATTTTAGATTGATGTCATAACTTTGGTCACTAAGCTTCTGTCTCTATTAGTATTGGAGACTTTATGACATGGTAGAAATATTTGGACTTTAGAGCCAAATATACCAGAGGTTAAGGTCTAGCTTTCTCAGTAACTAACTTTGAGTAACTCTTAAAGCTTCATTTTTCTCCTCTGTTAATGCTGTCTTAAGAATTAATTGAATTAATACATGTGATTCACCTGGGAAGAATTAGAAAAGTAAATGTTGGCTCATCTCCAAATTATATTTGTTTGAGGAAGAGGAGAGACAACAAGGTGAATATAAAATATAAACCAATTAAAAGCTAGTAAGCCAGTGTCAATGATTCCTTTAATTTTAACTTCTAAAAAGTTAAGACAATCATCCTATCTTTGTCTTTTTTTAAATAGAAGAAACACACCAAAAACCCTAATATAAATAAAGGACACACGTGCCAGAGAAATAAAGTTTATTAGAAAACCCCTCGGGAGATTCTTTTGCCTCTATGGAAAGACTCAATACAGGAAGAAAGACCAAGGAAGCAACATGACCAAGGAAACAGTTTGATAGAATTATGATAATAAAGCATTCATCTGCCCAAATGAACCAAATGATTATTTAGCTAAATACTGTGACCAATTTTTTTGATTCCTTCCATTAAAAATTAAAGCTGGGGTTTTCATATCTAAGCCATGCAATCTGCCTTAACATCTGATAAATTACGGAGGCAAGTGAACACTGAATGGGCAGCTCCCACGATTCTCAAAGTCAGTTCAGATCAGGGAAGCCATTGCTCAGCAGTTGCTTGGGAGGCAGGGGTCACAGCAGGGCTGAGTGAAGGTGGTGAGGTTGAGGGTCTCCAGGTTTGGGGTTGGCAGGGAGGAGTTGAGCAGGAAGCAGGTGGGCACACAGGGCTGAGGAATGTGGCAGGGTGGGGGACAGTTGTCACAGCAGGTAGGTTCCAGTTGCCAAACAGTGTGTGGACAGGTGCTGGGCAGGCAGACTCCACAGCGGCAGGATTTGTCTGAGGAGCAGATGGTGGTGGAGGGGCCAGTGGGAACACTGCAGCAGCGGGCAACACAGCAAGCCATGGTGTTAGGAGTGGATGGCTTTGGCGTCTTAGAAAGATGAGGTTTCTGAGGTTCAAATGTCTCCTCTTGCTTTGGGGCTCTTATATATACCCTCACCAGTGGGTGTGGGCCCAATCAGAAGGCTTCCTTCTACTTATTTTTTGTTTATGGAACCCCTTTCCACCAAGATTCTCTAATCAGTTTGGTATTTTCTTGTCCATTAAGAATTCCTACCCTTATTAAATTAATCATGGCTTTGAGTCATTGACTTGTCATTTTTGTCATAAGGTCATCATATTCATCTTCACGGGTTCTGGCATGCGAAACCTTGTGTGAACTATGGGTGATCAGTTCAAGTCACAATTAAGCTATATTTTTAGAGGTTTGGGTCTTCTTGTTTCTTAATTTGAAATGGTATGCATGTGATTTTTAATGACTAATTTTAGAACAAGCAACTCAAATGATCAATGGGACTGTTTTTAACTCAATAAAGTCACAAGGGTATGGCTTCTCATAGAAGAATGTTTCATCTGAGGATATGTATCTTAAACATACTTTATTTATTGATCATATAATTCAGATTCTAGTGAGAAAACAAGGTGACAGACAGAATGGTGTTAAATGGTCTTAAACTAATTTTCATTATTTTGAGTAAATCTATGATGAGTTTCCAAAGGTTGTCTTACACTATGCTTTTTAAAAGTAGCTCTGTTTTCAAGATTATACCAATCTTCAATGAGTCGAAGAGTGAAATCATTGTAAAGAAAGATCTATCTTGTTGGTATCCTTTGTTAAGTGTACCATTAAAAGAAAACCACCTTACTCTCTATTTTTAGATAAGTGATGTACATACTTTGAAATAAAACGACACAGGAACTGAAAGGAAAAATCACAAGATTCACAGAGTAACTGTGGTTTTGGAAGGGGACCTGATCCAGTGCAATATACAACTATGGCAACCCATAGAGGTCATTTTGTCATGGACTTACTTCCTGCTCAGCATATTTATTTGTTTTTGTCTCTTCAACTAGATTGTAAATTCCTTTGAGGATGCTTTCTACAACATACTTCACCTCAGCTGGCCTTGATTTGCCTTCCTGTAGATTGGTAGATGAGGGGGTTGGACTGCATATTCTCTAATGTGTAATATTTTATGATTCCAACATCTTCACACTCCTCTTCATGCTCAGCACAAAGTTATTCAGTTAGTGGAATCTAAATTACATAATTTATTGGATGGCAAATGATTGTTGAATAAATACAAAGTAAAGATTTTCTTGGCGTTTTTTGAGAGGACGTTATCAAAACCTAATACGATCTGTTCAAAAAAGAAGAAAAATGATTGAAAGAGTCAGTGGGAAAATACTAAATGTTATTGGAAAGTGTCATGTATAGAAGAATATATTATATGTAAGAAGTGTCACTCATTGCTGCTTAATAATTGGATATTTACCATATGGCACATCACATAAAAATGAAGGTGAGTTGCCAAGGCACTTTGCACCTCTGTGCCCTCACTAATACTGCTTCTTTAGTTTAAAATGTCCTGCCCTGATAATCTGCTTCTCAAATCCTACACAAATACCTGCTCAGATACCTCCTTCATAAAGGAACTAGACAATCTTTCTGGATGTTTTGTTCTTTTCATAGCTCTTTACCATATATTCTGTCTGTTTTCATTCTGCTATATATTAGAGTTTCAAATGCATTTGTGTTTCTCACTCCAATGCAAGACCCTTGAAAATGGGAATCATTTTTTAATCTTGCCTTTCTCTTTTAAGCACCTGAGACCATGCCTGGAAGGCAGTAGGCTTTTGTTAAATATATTAAGTTGTATTAAATTACACATTAGAATGTGACTGTGTTGATATCTAATTACCAGTATCTCTGCCTTTTAAAGGACACATGTGAGTTTATTTAAATAGGCAGGAAAACAGGTGCTGATCTTGGAAGTTAAAATAATTCTAAGCTCGAGTGAATGTATTTCATTAGCCATGCAGTTCTTTTCAGGTGTCTACATATCCCTGTAAGACCTCCTTTTTGGTTATGAGATTTATGTTGATGTCATCAGAAAATATAGTTCTGCTGGTGTATTTTTAGCTTCATGATGCATGTGTCAGGAGTCCTTAGGTAATTACAGCATTAAACATTAAGACAGTACAAGGTTGGGAAGGAGTAGTGTTTATTAAAAGTAAAGAGATCCATTATAGTATTTTTTCCACTTCTTTGAAACCATTTTCAAAATAGGAAAAGAACATTTCTGCAAAGCTGACAGATGGCACAGGGTCAAAGCATCTTCTTCCAGAATGTTTAATTAAAGGCCATTTGCTGAGCAGCCATTAATGACTGTTGAAGGTCCTTAGGGCAATGTGGGCAAGCTCTCTGAAAGATCTTCGGCTAGCAACAAGGGGGTTCACACTCACAAGACTGGACGCAGGTGGTAACAGAGATCCCATTCAGGTTTGGGGCAGGGTGGCACTTGTTGAGCAGCCAACACGATGACACATAGGAGTCAGGCACACAACAGGGTTGGGGGCAGGTGTCACAGCAGGTGGGATGAAGAAGGCTGATCTTGTGTGGATAGGTACTGGGCAGGCAGACTCCACGTGGACAACATACGTCAGAGGAGCAGAGGGTGGTGGCTGGGCCAGTGGGGATACTGCAGCCTCCTTGGAGGCAGGAATCAATGCATGACATGGTGACAGCAGATCACGTAGATGTTTTGTTGCCTAGGAAGGTATTCTTCTACAAAGTTGTCCTTGGTGGGTCTTTTATATCCACCTATTTCAGGGGAACATGGCTTCTGTCCATCAGAATGTTTCCTTGTTGTTGTTTACATAATCCTACACAAATAACTCACTGACTTTTTGTATCAGGCACGGGATGAGTTCTCCTTCAGTTTTATTTGATTGTGTTGCTACATTAACACTTGCTTCCTGTTGCAGTTTCAAAATGGTGTTAGTGTCGTTCTCCACCTAGTCAATGATGTGTAAACACCTCTATATCCACCCTGCTTTCCTCTTGTCTGCCAACCAGAATTTCTTGTTACAAATGATCGCTGCTGAGTGTGAAGAATCAAGAGTGATGTTCCTGAGAACTAACAAATGATCTGTCTCAAATTATGTACCCTTGACATATTTTGAAAGCCAAAACCTGTGGGACTTTTTTTGTATATAGCAGATTCATGCTGGTGTATTTTCAAGGATTTGAAAGAATAAATGAGTATTGAAGGTACATCACACAATCTGCTTGGAGAGTGTGGAGCCTGAAAGATGACTTTCTATATCTATATACCACATTATCTAGGTATGCAATTATATATAAGCCCTTAGTCTTACAAAGGACTGATTGTTCTAAACATAATTTAGAATAGATTAAAATGTAGGTTCATAGGGCTATCTATGTAGGTCTGAAAAATGAGCTCACTCTTTGTTAAACTGAAAAGTTTTCGCTTTTCAGAAAATAAAATTGCTGACTTGCCTGTTGCATTTTTTAAAAACTACTGTAGAAACTGACCTTTTGTCAGACAGACAAGTACCTTTTCCAATCCCTTCCATTTTAATTTTGTTATAGTGTTAACAGGTTCATGGCTAAAATTAGCATGTGACTACAGTAAAGGAGACAAATTAGGTAATCCATTAATTATAAAGTCAAGTGTTTATTGAATCATTAACATATTGTGAAAAGTGAGGAGGAGACAGGAAAATAGAAGACATGGCCCCTGTCCTCCAGGAGTGCATGATCTGATACCTGGTGGAAGAAGCTAGAAATTCCTTTGCATATGAACCAAACAACATATAATTACTTGGTAAGGTAATGGAGGGAGTTTCAGAGCTAGGTTTTGATAATGGTTATAACTTATAAGACCTAGATCAAGTTGTTTAATCACTCTGAACTTCCATTTCTTCAACTACAAACTTGGGAAAAATAGTTACCTATGATAGTCTTATTGCAAGGCTTAAATAAATATTAAATGTGATCACCTAGGTAACTCATTTAGCATTTTTTGTGGCATGAAAGAGTGATTCAATAAACGGCAGGTTCTCCTGTGGTCACTATAAGAATTCCCTAAGAAGAAATATTATGAAGGAGGGCTGAAGTGATTAAAGAGACTATCATGGAAGATTTGTAATAAATTGTGTTTAATCATAAATGCTGAGAAAGAAAGTAAGTGCATTTCAGGCAAGAAATTACTTCTGTCCTGCACCTAATCTCAGCCCTTGATCCTTGATGAACAACCCACTCCTGTCTTTGTGCCTCTGTTGAACCCCATAACTACCCATAGCACTTTGCTGCATTTTTTGGGAGTACAAATCTTGGTTCTTTTTACCAGAGTGCAATTCCTTTCAAAGTGGACAATATCTTATTCATCTTGGTATCTCCAGAACCTAGCAAAGTTCCTGGATCATGGGCTGGAATCTGGAGACTGGAGCACATAGAATGAATATTTAAGAAAGAAACGTGGCAAATAATGATAACTAGGATCTATTGCATGATTGTGTGTCAAGTTTACTTAGAAGACATGTAGATAATAAATTTCACCCAAAATATTTTAACAGAGAGAACTTATTACATGAGTATTAGAGGCCTGGGACAGAGAGGAAAGTTGAGCTAATACAGGAAGTAGCCACCAGCTCTAGGGTTGTAGACTGGAGCATTTGGAGATATTTGAGCTGAGAAGCTTGGAAGAGTGAACCTGTAGAGCTGGGCTCTGACCTCTGGGCTGCCCAGTGGTGCTCTTATAACCAAGAAGGGTCAGGTTTTGCTGCCACCTGATGATGCTAATAAATCGAGAGACAGAGTGTCGGGGGAGGGAAAAGCTTTATTTGCAACAAGCCACAAGTTGTAAGATAGGGACTTTCATTCTAGAAAAAGACAATCTTCCTAGAGATTGCAAGCGTAAGGCTTTCATAGGAGTTTTGGGGAGGCACAGCAGATAGATGGGCCCCAGGGCAGTTATAATTTGGGGATATTCTGCTTCTCTGATGCATTCCTGGACTCATGTATAAGTAGATCACTGGATGTCCTGGGCTCTGTACATCTAAAGAAAAGTTAGTTACTGATTATAAAGTCTTTTGAATTACTTCTTTTTAGTTTCTTTTCCCAGGAATGTAAAATTATCTGTAGATAATTGTTAGGATACAAAAGGCATCTTTCCTTGGGAGAACATGGGAAGATTGTGAAATACTTTTCTACTGGAGGATAGAACGTGGGGTGGAAGGGATAGAGAAAAGCAACTTTCCCCAGGAGGATGGGGGAGATAACTTTTTCTGGAGAATACTTTTTTTAATTAAAAAGAAAACCATTAGGTGACTTTAATCTTATCTCTAGAGCTCAGAGAAGAGGCCAAGAGGGGCCAGAGTTTCACATCTGCAGGGGGGCCTCACTACTCTGTGGATGCTGGTTTTCTTAGGGGATGCAACAACCCTGCTTTTTGAATGTGAAGCTGCAACCAGATAAAGAATTGTTGTTTGGGCAACAAGACCCTTCTTCCTTCCTCAGTACTTGCAGTCTCCTTCCAGTGCCCTCTATTGATCGAACCTTACAGAAAAACAAAGAACGATGTAGAGACCTCAATAGGCATCACAAATTATCAGAAAGTGAGCTTAGAGCTGATGATTAGTACACATTGTTCTAAGGACTGTATGTGTTTTAACTAATTTAATCTTCACTGCAGTTTTATGAGATAGAAATTGTTTTTAATTCTTATTTAACAGTAGGCTACTAGTAAATGATAGAGGTTGACTTAGAGCAAGATAGTCTTTCAGAGACTAAATGATCTAAACCATTGTATAGGAGACATTGTTATAATTAGAGTGTAAGCTACATGTTGCCTCAAGATTAGCAGCAAGTGAGGTTTGGGGAGAATGAATGTACTGACTTATCAAGGGTCTTGACTGCCACCCCAAAAAGACCTGATCCTAAATTCAGTAAACACAAACATCTTGAGTCATCATGGTACCTTGAGAAATGCAACTTAACTAATATTTATAAGGAGACAGAAGGTTGGTCTGATGAAGGTACAGTTTGGATGGAGGGAGGAGCACAGAGTATTTGACTCAAAGCCAACTGGGAGACTGTGGCTGTGAACAAGCTCTAGTTAGAGTCAATAAGGATGGAAGAAAAGTCTGGAAGCCAGGAATAATTTGAAGGAAAAATGACATGCATTGGTTTTCTATTCTATTATCAAGAATAAATAACTAAAGGTAGTTTGTTTTACCTTGGTCTAAGTTATTGAAGGGCATTAAGAACACTGAAAATGTGTTTGAGTTGACATTCTGCATTTCAATTCAAGGTTAATGAGCCAGCTAATATTTCAGTGCTGACATTTCTAGTCAGTACTTAAAAAATGTATGATTTGTTCTCACCTTAGAAACATAGTTTTTCCTATATTTGTTGTATATATTCCTTTTGTCTTTATACTGTAATCAGCCCTAGAGAAAGCCAGTAACTGTATACTATCACATACACAATTTAAAGGGATAGTAGAGATGTACTGTCAAATGCATATACTTTCTCTTGAGTAAAGAAAGCCATATGCAATCTAATTTTACTTTGTTATATTTCTATCTGTGAAGGTGGTAATTGTTTTGATGAAGAGATTTTTGGTTTAGGTAGTTTAAGGTTTAATTTTTTTCTCTGTGACATGATTTTTGTGAATTTTGAAAGTAATGTAGTCTTTCTCAGCCTCAGTTTCTTCACTTATAAAGTGGGTAAATAATGTAGTTATCTTTTAGAATTTTTGTTAAAGACAAAAGAGATACTGCACATAAGGCACCTATTACAGCATCCACTGGGTATTCACCAAATGTTGGCTATCATAACTGAAATCAGGTAGAATGGGGTTGGTTAGCGGCATAGAGTATTTGTTAAAACCTTTCAGTTTTAACATGCTGGGTTCTAGATCATCCAGAAGAATTCTGGATGACTAAATCTTTTTCAAGACATTAGAGGTGATCTGGCCAACCAACCTATTTTGCTGATTTAAGACCTAAGACCTGGAGAATTTCAGTGACTTGCTTGGAGTCACAGAGACAGCCTGAAGCAGATCCAAGAATAAAACATGTATCTTCTGGCTTCTGATTGTTTTTTTTAAGTAGCCAAGAGCCCTTACATGCTAATGGGCCCACAGTGGTTGTAATAGGATACTTAGAGTTATTTTCAATATCAAAAATAAAGACTACATACTTATTTCTTACAAGTGTAACATGGTATCAGTGGTTACCATATATTAATACTAAATTTCTCACTGATACTTATAGATGTATTTATGAAAAACATAAAGGAATTAATAAATTTTTATTTAAGGAAGCCAGTTGGGAAAAATACAGTTTTTTTTTTTTAAAAAGATTCCTTTTGGGGAGAAAGGTAGAAACTGCTGTGTGGCAGAAAGTTGAGAGTCTCCCTTGGACAGACTGAAGCTGTGGATATGGAGGTTTCTACTCACTGGGTCATTCAGTCTTCATAGTAATCCTGAGACATAAGCAGGGCAGAGAACAATAATAAGAAACCGAGACTGTGGGATACCAGGCTAGAGGTAGGAAACTAATGCTGAGGCAATTGAGACAGAGGGGGAAAGAATTGCCTCAAAGATCCAAGGCAAATCCAAGAAAATATACAACTAGATTACACTTTGGTACTTTCTTGTGATGATCTTAACTGCACTTGGGTTTTCTAGAACATCTAAGGAAATGAAT